AGGTACTGTTATTTTCCCGAGGGGCCTGACTTCCTCTCCGCTGAAGCCCACCAGAGGAGTGTTCGCGGGCTTCAACTCGCTTCTCTGCAACTGAAGCTGGTCAAAAGCCGACTTGAAGAGAATGTCCGCCGAGCTGCCTGAATCCACAAGTACGCGCCTGACTTTGAAGTTGCTAATCCTTAGTTTTATGACAAGCGCATCATCGTGGGGGTAGTGGACCCCTCGCGCATCGTCTTCCGTGAAGAAAATCGGTTCTTCCGTCTTCAGCCTCTTCGAAGGGTTCTATTCTTCTCGGGCAGCTTCGCGAACTGATTCTGGGCCGCTACCGAAGTACAACCTGCTACCACCGAACCTTCCACTATCACGTGGATGGTTCCCCGAACTGGCCTCTCTTCTGGAGGCTATCTTTGCGACGGTTCGGCTGGCCTGCTGCTGGATTCGGGGGCATCCCTTCCATGCTCCCCTTGCCAACCTGTCTTATTATTATTATTATTATTATGATGTACAAAATTTCTCAAGTACCCGTGACGGATGAGTCCCTTTATCTCGTCCCGGAGATTATTACATTGTTCGGTACTATGACCGTGATCTCTATGGAAACTGCAGTACAAGTTTTTATTTCTCTCGTTTGGGTTCCCTTTTAGGCGAGGTGGCCATTTTACGTATGGGGCGTCTTTGATCGTCATCAAGATCTCGGTCTGCCTCGCGTTTAAGGGTGTGTAGTCCGTCTGAGCTGCTAAGGGAGCTTGGAACGGCTGGCTTGGCTTCGTCTCCCGGGCCGGGTTTTTTCTTCTGTCAACTGGGTTGGAGGGCTCGCCTTCTCTCTTCCTTTTCTCGATCCTGCTTTCGGTCCTTTGGTTGATCTCTTCCTCTGTTCTCATGAACTTATCCGTGAGCTTGAGGAATTCGGCTACGGTCGCGGGCTGGCTAGATACCATGTGCCATTTGAACTCCTTGTGTGTTACTCCTCTCTTGGCCGCCGCGAGCTGCACCGCGGGGTCCAGTCGCGGTATCTGCAAGCACGCGTCATTGAACCGCTTGATGTAGCCCCAAATGGACTCTCCTTCCCTCTGGACTACTCCGAAGATGCTTTCCTCGGTTTTGGGGCACCACTTGCTGGTAACGAAGTGTGCGGTGAAGACCTGCACGAACTGGGTCCAGCTTCTTATTGACCCGGGGGCTAGGTTTCTATACCAGGTGTGGGCCACCCCACTGAAGGTGGTGGTGAAGGCCACGCACATGCATGATTCACTGGCCCTAGCTAGGTGCATTTGGGACTAGAAGGCATCGACGTGGTCGTTGGGGTCGAAGGACCCATCATACTTGTCTAAAGGGGGGAGCTTGAAGTCTCTAGGCATAGGGACTGCAAGGAGTTCTAATGAGAGGGGGGAAGGAACTGAGAGAATAGGGGCAGCTTTTACCTCGTCCGAGCTTGTCTCTTCTTTACCTCTGAGCTCGGGTAGGACACGGGTGGCAGTTCGACGACTTCGCCGGCGTCTTCGTTGCTGAGTGGGCCTGGTACTGGCACTGCTAGCCTCTGTGTTGCCGAGCTCGATGGACCTGGACTGTTGGTAGTCCGCCACTAGGACGCTGAATCGATTCTCTGTCAGCGGGAGCTCAGACTTGGAGTGCCGAGGTACTGACTTGGCGGGCGAGGTTCCTGACCTGTCGGCGAGCTGCGAGGCGGGGGTGATTTTTCTTTCCCCTCAGCCCGAGGATGAGGCCTGGCTCTTGAGGGGGTTTTGAAGTTGGGAGGCTTCTCCTCGGTGATGGCATCCACCCTGAGGGGAGGGCTTAACCGGCTTTGGAGCAGGGTGCCGAGGTGGAAGCTGTGGTTGGTTCAGAGGCAGTTGGGGGAACTGCTGCTGATAGTGATACTGAGAGATGTGGTGCAGTACTTGGTGCTGCTAGAGCTGATGCTGCTGGAATTGTTGCATTTGGGCTTGCATTGCCCGCATGCATTGCATCAAGTCATCAAACTGGTTCTGGCTGGTCGCTAGGGGGACAACAGTTGGTTCGGTAAAGGTTGTTTCGACAGGGAGAGGAAAGGGGACGTTCACGGTGGGAAGGTTTACGGGCACCACTGTTCGTGGCGCATTCAAGCTGGGGATCCCATCCACCGGAAGGGGGATGATGAACTGTCCGATGCACACCACGGGGACTTGAAGTTGTTCCTCGGTGGTGTTCATCTCCGTGCCATGTCCGGCATTGCTGGAAGAAGCCATGAGTGTTGGGGTTTTTTGGAAAAAAAGGGGTTATGAGAGTTTTAGAGGGAGGCTTTCAGAAGCGTTTCCCACAGACGGCGCCAATTGATGGTGCGCAATCCGGCCGGTTCTAGCTGTCAATGATCTTGCCTCGGGCTGGAGCAGAAGGTGCCTGAAACGGAGGAGAAAGCGAGTAATCTCCGGTGAAGAACCCGGTGAGAATGCTCCGAAGCTCAAGTTAGTATTTCCTCAAAGGCAAGATAAAACCAGATGGCGCAAAGTTATCACATACCTTGTTCTTGGGGGGAAGAGAGCCTTTTATAACCACTTCGCGCACTCACTCCTAAGCTTTTGTTAGGTCGGGTATGATTACCTCTGCGCTTCTACCAGTTCGGGTGTCATCACCTCTGCTGGGGCAGAACTGCCACTGCTCTCTTTGTCGGAGCCGTCTCTGTAATTGGAGATGGCGGTGGCAGGTGGCGATGGCAGGTGGCCGTTGAAGTGCGGCTGTCAAGCGTCAGATCCCAAGTCAGTCAGGTGCACCGCCTCAGGATACGGACTCCTTCAGTGTTAGGTACGGTACGGTTGTTCAGTTCGGCGTCCTGGAGGTGAAGTGTTGGAGTGGTGTGCGAGGTGAAGTCTTGAGTTCGAATAGAGGTGTGGCCCGAACTGCCATGGGGCGGGCCAGTTCGGGTTGTTGCCCTTTGTGTTCGTAAGGCTCGGGGTCCAAGGGAGAGCTCGAGCTCCTTGTAGGGAGTTCGGACCGCGAGTTCTTCTTTTCGGAGCTCGCGCCTTGGGCGTACTGTTGTGCCGAGCTATTGCCTTTCTACGTATTGAGTGGTTATAAGGTCGGGCCAAATCTTCCTTCATCATTTTCAACTTTCAACAAAGATTAAAAACTTGAGAGGAGGTTTCAGCAATTTTACTAATTTTAATTTATTTTGTTTGATAGTTTCTTTCACTAGCTCTATTTGGAAAGACTGCAATTAATAGAAGGTATAAAAATACAAACATGGACGATGTACAAAGTTTTGCATCAAATGGAGCCTATAAAAAGTACAAATACAAATGTGTAGAATGCAAAACCTTACATTTTATATTATTTTATATGTATTTATATTTATATTTATATTTGTATTTGTATTGCTTTCTTTGGATGGTGAATGGAATCGCTTTTCTACCATGTGAAAGTAAAACAGTGAGAGAATTAACAACCGTCTCGTCACGTGACGAGGACCGACCGACTCTTTCCTAGCAAAGAGTCAAAATCTTATGCACCAATTATGAACTTTTTTTGCTGCTGTCAGGACTGAGAAGTGGACCGGCCCAAAGGTTTGGTTGAGCTCCAGCCTCCAGCCTCCAGGTCCAATCCATCAGCAATTTAATTGACCGTCCGGTCCCTAACGGCTTCTTTTTGTTGGGTCATCCATTTTGATTTTTGACACGTTTCATTTGTGGCAGACCCCACGAGTCGAAACTCGAGTGGAAACACCGAGAACATTACCGTTTGCTCACATCCCGAAAAGATTATCACAAACCTGAACCTGAACACTCATGACTTGACTCATCTCAATGAAATATGAACGAAAATTGATGAACACAAACCCCATTCCTCAGCTTCTGTTGCTGTCGGTTCACCCTGGCCTTCTTATACCAACAACCAACCCCCGCTATTTGTTTGTTTCCACTTTCCATTACATTTCATCTCTCTCAGCTGATATGATTCTATAACAGTCTAACGTCCTCTGTGCTGTGCTCTGTTATTATCTTCCACTTTTACCGGGCAAATACAATTATTAATTATTTCATTTGAAATCTTCTCTTTAGCTCCCTTTAATTTTGATAGGTCTGAGCTCTCTTAATTGGGGATGGTCAAATGCCAAAACTGCCATCACTAAATGCTACCATAGACCATATTCTATAACAAACACGACTATGGTATAGTCATTAGTCATTACTCAAAATCAAAGCCGGCTTGTTTCCTCATTGAACAGGCTGAAAAGAAACCCAAATTCCTTGTTTCATTGCATATCTGAAAGATTGAAAATGAACCCAAAAGAAAGGATTGATGGGTTGTAGCCAAATGGTAGATTAATCTTCAAAATATTGTGTGTAAAGTCTGCATTTCTCTGTGAAAGCTGATTAGGATTTAGGACACATCATAATTTTAATAATGTTAAAGTTGAAATTTGGTTGCAATTTATTCAAATAATGGGGGTAATTTGGTCACTCAAATCAATATGCCACTTCTTTATGTTATTTGTAATTGGTCCAGTCTTTCCAGGTTGTGGGTGAAATTGCTGTTTGGTTCATGGTTACTGGTTGTGCTTTTTATTTTCTGTTTCGTGGAGGCTCCTTCTTCAGTACTCAACCCAACTGTCTCTCTTCCCTTCTAAAACCTCTGACCTGAAACCCCTCTAAACGACTCCGCCATTCCCCAGCCATAGCAGCAGCAGCAGCTCTTTTTTCTACTTTTAGGCGTGGAATTAAAGACGGGAAAATAGGGAAAGAACAGGGAGACATGTTCTACTCGCAGACTCTTCTCTCCAGAAAGGGGCCTTTGCGCACCATCTGGATTGCTGCTTACTGTCACAAAAAACTCAAAAAGGACCAAATTGCGGAGACTGATATCTCTTCTTCTGTTGGTATTGCTCTATTTCTCTTTTTTTTCTCATTTCCATCTTAAGAAAGTTCTTTTTTTTTTCTCTGTTTACCGTCGTTTTTCTTCTTTCTTAAGCGTTGGGTATGTGGGATGTTGTTGTGGGTGGCATCGCTAGGAGCCATTGCTTGTTTTTTATGTCAGAAATGGGGATGAGCTGTCTGGGTTCTTCATAAAATGGCCGAATTAGCTACATAATTACTTGGAGGTTTCTAGTGATGCTATTTTCGGTTTTTTTTTTTTATCTTAAAGTACTTTGTATATTGTAACTTGGAAAGTGATTTCCATTCCATGGTTTCTCTAGCCATGGGTAGAACTGCTCTTTCTTGGCTGTACTGTTTCTTTGTTTTGTTTAGCTTAGTATATTTTATATATTTTTTCGCGCATCTGTTTCTGGCAAGAATGTTAGTTTTATTTCTGAGAAAAAAAAAGAGGAATCTTCTATCTATTTTTGTTCTTTTTTGGAATCAATCCACTGTCAAAGTTCCCTATAAAATGGCGGCAGTAACTATTCCTACTTTAAATTTCTTCTTATGTTGTTACTATAACTTGTAATTTTGCAGTTCTCTTCTTTTAGTTTTTTTTTTTTTTTTTTTTTTGTGTATAATCCCGCATTAACATCATCACAGTAGTTTTGTTTTCTTCCAGTTGCATGATCTCTTTCAATTTGCTCAAATCCAGAAATTTTCAAGATTCTTATTCTATTTATTGGTTGAGATTATTGCAGTAATTATTTGTCACACAAAAAATTTCACACAGAATTCACTTTTACCTGCCATGAACCTGGAAAGGAGGTTGACCTGGTTATAAAATCAGCATTCAGTGACACATGGAACACGCCTCCCCCAGCCTGCACTCTCTAGGATCCTGGTGACAGAATGTAGCCAATCCAGTCCCTCTCATTGGAGATTGAGATGATGCATTAGTTTATTTCTGTTAGGTTTAGGAGTTGGTGGTCAGTTCAAGAAACGTGTTTTCAGTTCTAGAAGTTATGGTCTATGTGTTGATTATACTAATATTTTTTGGATAGAATGGTAATTTGACCACTGGAAGGCCTGAAACAAACAATAGGGAACATATAATCATAAATTAAAAACTCTAAAAATATTCTACTCCAACAGCTATGGTTGGTTCGGTGTTTCAAATCATTCTTTCTTTTCTAATTATGGTTGATCTTAACCACCTATTTAAGTCAATTTTCGTTTTCTCTCTCATTGTGGCATGCAGATAAGATAATTCTTGATGAAGTTACTGTAACTTATAGAGTACTGGGTTTTCTTCTTCTTGGCGTTGTGAGAATATACTCAAGGAAAGTTGACTACCTATATCATGATTGCAATGAGGTTCTAATAAAAATAAACAGTTTTAAGGTGACTAGAAGAGCTAACTTGCTTAAAGAGGCTGCATTTGCACCTTATGTCTCCATCACTCTTCCTGATACGTTTGAACTTGATGCTTTTGATCTGGAGATTGTGGAAGATGTAAGCGGGTAAGAAATTGGATCTTAAATAGGATCTTTGAGTTCTCTTTTACTTTTTTTAAGCATTTCAACCCACCCTTTTTCTCACTTCTCAGGAGCAATGTGAGGCCCCATGATGAAATCGTGCTTGAAGGTATCAGATTTGTGAGCTATCTTTGAATATTTTAATATTTTCCTTGACTGATATTGCAAAATTTGGTCTTCTCTGAAACTAAAGCATGGGAAGAAGATGTGGATTATTCTCTGAACAAGGTACATACACTTATCATATTGTGTTCAAAGGATTCCGTATATCTTGGATACAGAAGTGTCATTTCTGCCATGTGGTGTAGATGGATCATCCATAAATCAATCTGGAACACAGAAGAAATGTCATTCCCCTTCCCCCTTTTTTGCCTTGAAATGAAAGTTACCTCTTTTCAAAATAAATAAATAAACAAACAAACAAATAAACAAATCAATCAATCTGGAATATGTAACTGTTACTGATCAAAAAAAGAATATGGAACTGTTGGGCACACTTTGGATGAGTTTTACCCTAAAGGTCATAGAGAAAGAACATGTAAAGAAATGGCTCAGTTTGGAAGGAGTACAAATACAAATATGTATAGTGCAAATACATATAAAATAATACAAAATACAAGGTTTTGTACCCTACAAATTTGTATTTGTACTCTTTCCAAACTGAGCCTTTAGGGTTGATGAATTACCTGTTGCAACCAGTACCTCCTGATCAACTTTCACCTGAATGGTAGTTAGCTGTTCAATGTGATTTCTCAGCTTTGACCAACACATTGAATAGTCTATATTGACGCATAAGCATCAAACTCAAAGGCCTACCAATCATAGGATGTTAGGTTGCTACTTGATAAATGCTTGGTGTTATCAGGGATCAAAATGTTAGTTTTGGGCAATGTATTATCTACGTTCCCAAAAAGTCAATCCACTATTTTTTTATCAGTAACTGATCAGGGTTTTATTGGAAGTAGAACAGAGGAAAAGATACAAATTCAGAGCAGGGGCATGTACCCAAGGTAGAAGGTACAGAAGGAAGCATCCAATTCAAGGGGCCCAGATCTACCCCTGGGGGTTTAACCAGGGGTAAGATAAATATAGCTTGTTTAAACAGTATATTTATAGAAGTGTATTAACGGCAATATGGGCGGTATCCTTTATCATATGTACAGCTGATCTTATGCATATTTGGCACTATAGTGATGTCATTTGGTTAGACATCTCATTGGTATTTTTACTTTATGCGCATTTGCAGTATCATCATAAGGAAGTTGCTGCTGATCTTGACATATGCACTGCTGGTTATACACCAATTGAAGAGTATGTATTAACAAAGTTTACCCATTTGGCTCAGAAACTTTTAGGAGCTTCCCTATGCTGAATCAATGCTAACATGCTATTTGTTGCAGTGTTCTTTCACCTTACATGTTAGACTTCAATATGGACAGCCTGCCTTATCATTACCAAAGTAATTTAGAAGAAAGCATGGAGAAGCTTCGGTGCAATTTGTTTCCTCAAGAAGAACAATTGGACCATGAACTTTATTGTGGAGCAGAGGAACCTTTGGACTTCGTTGCACAATTTGATAAAACAGATGATCAAGAAGAGAATTTGAAGTTTCTGGAAATACCACCATTGGATATTGGAGGATATGATATCTTTACTGAAGGCCATCCAATTGAGACTACACCTGACAAGACTTCTGATAAGACAAATTTCTCACACCCTTCAGGTTGGCAAGCTACAAGCTACCCACAACAGATTTTATGCTTATGCCATACAATGTTCTTAATCTTGGAATAGGATTTTTAGGATGAGGTAGATGTGCATTTACCTCACTAACATAATCTGATAATCACCCGAATGTGTTTTGACTATGGATGGAAAAGTACACCTGAGAAAGAAGGGACACATCACAAATATAACAATGAATGATTTGTCAAGATAATAGAAAATATCACCATTTAAATAAATGGACACATCACAAATACAAGTACATAAACATGATAAATTATTTAGCCAACATGAAAATGAAATACAACTGTGTGGATCTTATTCCCTATTCGTATCCTTGGCTTTCATTTGACATATCTTTGATATTTATTTTATGTAAATTCTCTTAAATGTTATTAAAACCATTTAACAATATTCGTTGGTAATTGACATGCCAATAACCAGTGTTATATGTAATGAAGCTGAATGCATGAGGTCAGAAAGAAAAAGGTTGAAGTGATTCAAGTGAATAACAAGAAACAGTGAAATATCAAACCTTAAGGCTATGTTTGGTTTGAAGGAAAAGGTAGGGAAAGGAAGGGAAAGATATCAAAACCTATACAAGGTTTGTAAAGGTTTCCTTGCCTTTCCTTTCCTTTCCCTACTTTTTCCTTCAAACCAAACATAGCCTAAGTTAGTTTAGGCCAGATGCTTACCAACTTTTCTGCACATTCCTTGTTTACATCATAGAAAACCAAAGGGATTGTTTATAAAATGAAGAGAGTCTTATCCAACCTTACAGCATTGGCCATACAGACCCTACCTATTTTGCCATTTCCGCTCTATTGAGGGCTATATCCTCTGTTGGGTTGTTTATCCACAGTTTTTCTTTTCTTTTTTGCCCCCCTTTAAACAGATTGTGGACCATTCCACTCTAAAGTTCTATTTCCAATGACAGTATTTCCTAGTGAAATATCCACTTTAATGTACCTATAAAAAAATCCTCTTTAATGCACTTATTACAAATATAACCATTGGAAAATATCTCCAACCCAGAAACATTAGTGTTGTATCAAAATTATCAGATTTGGGCAATATTGGAGATATATATCTTGTCTGGGAATTTTAGGGCCCCCTCTGTTGTTTATTTTACCCTTTCTGGGAAGGGGAAATAATTTGGTGTATCATATACACGAAGGATATTTTGAACCATGATCATTAATCTCTTTTAGTGGAAAGAGAAAATGGAAAACAAAGGATAAAGTATTATATGCACTTGCAAAAAGATATTGATATTTTTTCTTGTTTCTTCTTTTCTTCATTGATTATTTAACATGATCACACTTGCCTTCGGGTTTGCAGGTGCAGTTACACCAGGAGTTATGGTTATTCCTACACCTTCAAAGAAGGAGCAAGCTCGGAGACCAAGGAAGAGAAGAAGTTTATTTGATGAGATGATAGTGTTGCCTAATGAGTAAGTAATAACTGATAATAACCTTTTCATGTTTTCTATTTCTCCCTTTTAGGAGTAATTAACTATTAAATGCAAATTTAATATGTAAGTTGGCCATAATATTTTCTTCATTTTTGGAAGTATAAGAATGGAGCAAAAAACTAGGCAGGAACTTATTAATCATTAGTAAAGAACAAATGAAGGGATGACATGACTTTATATTTCATTAATTTCACAGGGTGCTTAGGCAGAGCATACATGACTCAAGTAGCTTAGTTGCTAAGCGAAGGAAAGTTCCACATACTGCATTAGATGCATGGAGAAACCATAAAATATCAAGTCTCCAACAGAATTTTTCAGAACCTCTGTTTCCTTGTAAGTTATGCAGTATGTTTTGCTGCACTCACATAGTGACTTATGCGATACTTACTATGTCCATCCATTTTGTAGATATTTCTTCAGAGCTCAAAATTCTCTTCTACAATAACAATCTCAACACACCAGAACCAGCTGAAGATGCAGAAGGCCCCAGTAAGTTGGGAGAGGTCAAATTTGAAACACCCAGAGATTCTGTAGAGCGAAGACCTATTTTCCAAGAAAACTCTATTGATCACTCAACATCAGCATGGTCTTTAGAAAGTCCTACATATGTCAAGCCAAATCGAGAAGAAGTTCCAATACCAGTTGCAAGAGTTGATCTCTCTCCAAGTGAGACTCAAGATCTTGTCCTGAGTCTTATGGATGAGGTAATATTACTAGGAATGTTTACCAATGACATAGCCATACACATGGCATACCCCACCTGTATCCTTGGATTATGCATGTGACTGGATGAGCACATTCAAATATTGTGGACCTTTTCCCTGTACAGATCTAATTGTTTTGTCAGGGAAGGTTTTGTCTATTTGGCATCTGCAAAAGATGTGCCTATGTACTTAATTGCTCATTATTTCTCTCACCAACAGACAAAGAAGACGGGCTTTAAATATTTCTCTGTGACACACACAAAGTTAGAACTCGGAATGTTGTTGATTTCTAATTTTTATTTGCAGGAGATTGGTCCATATGAAGAGAATAATTCAGAGCTGGGTAAGCACTGTCAAGTTGTCCTGGTTGCTCAATTTCAGTTTGTAGTATTCGCTTTTATCTATGTCAAAGTTTGGTTGTTTGTGTTCTGCTGTTAGATTGATTTTTGTGCTTAAAGAGGGTATTCTCATTGTGTTGTGTCTTAAACTGCAGGTGGATGTTCAGTTAGAACCAGGTAAGGGTGATGGATCTTTCTGATTCTTTCCTTATGACTCAGTTTGGAAAGAGTAAAAGCAAATATGTACAGCATAAATATATACAAAATATAAGGTTTTGCACTCTACATTTTTGCATTTGTACTCCTTCCAAACTCAGCCTATTATCTCCTGCTTTTATTGTATCCCTTTCACCCTATAAATTTGTTGTGTACAGAGCAGTGGCAAGGTATCTGCAGAAAAGATTTCTAAATAAAAAGAAGCAAAAGGAAAATCAAGTTTTGAACCTTGCATGTGTTCTGGAAGGGAGAACGAGAAAAGAAAGTGCTCGGCTATTCTATGAGATACTGGTATGACTTTGCTCCAAATTAGAACAGCTTGATATCTATGATTTGATCAGTTGCCAAAAATGGGTTAGAATCTTGAGCAATTAAGGGAAAACAGAGCATTTATATTTGGGGGAGCATCCTCCAATGTGAATTATTGTCTTTATGATTTCCAAGAAAACTGGGCCCTGCAGCTGGTTTGGTTAAAAAACATCGTTTTCTTAAATTGAAACACGGAAATGTTTTTGGTTTTGTGGTATTTTTCACTCTTTAAGTTAAAGCTGAAACCAAAAGCACTTTCTTGATGTTCTGGTTTTAAAAACACATTTTCCTCCAGTGGTTTGATATTGTGTTTCATAAAGCATATAATATTTAGATAAAAGATTCTGATTGAATGGATGCAAATTAACTTTCTTATTTTTATTTTTTATTTATGTTTTGGACCCAAAGCCGTTTGAATGTGAGTTGGTATGATTAATAGGAGCTTTAAAACAGCACTTGTAAGAGGGTTTGCATGAGACTTGTGTTTGTGCAGCACACTGAATGGTATTGGTAGCCTAAGCCTTGTAGAAATGATAACATGGTTTTGTTTTCAAAGACATCTTTCTTGTGGGTTTCAGAAAAATAGGTGTTTCTTGGAATTAAATTGAAAATGCTTTTACTTTGTTTTAAGAAGGTCGTCAAAGAACATGTTATTTGCTTTTTTGCTGATTTGTTATTTTTCTAGAAACAAGAAAAATAAAAACATTCCCTGAGTGTGTTAATTTTGCAACCAATCAGATCAGAGCAAGCTCACAAAGTGACAAGCAATGTTATTGTAAAGTAGTGTAAAAACGGTGTTTTCGTGAACTATTGCCCTGTTTTACCAAGAAAGAACTATAATCGTGCAGGTATTGAAGACCCAAGGGTTTGTAGATGTAAAGCAAGAAACATGTTATGATGATATCCTTGTGCTGACAACTCCACATATTGAAGCAGTTCCATAAATCCAGCTATTCAGAAACCATGTAGAAATAACCTTTACTCATGTTGAACGATTTTGTTAGAAGTAACCTCCAGTTCCCATGTGTATGTGGAACTTTCTGTGAGAATTTTAAAATCTTCCATGTATACTATGTTTTAGTCTGTAGTCTGTACATGCCATAACCCCCATGTAGTTGCAGGCAACCTTGTTGAGAGAGAGAGAGAGAGAGAGAAGAGACTTTGTATAGTTGAAATTTGTATATAGTAGATATGGTGGCAATCAATGTTTTTCATTTGCAGCCTAATTTGTGAACTCTGAATACTAATTCCAAAATGTTGGGGAATTGAAAGTTGTTGAAACAAAAGTTTCGGTCAGGTTCTTCAAATAGTATTGATCCCGGAACTTTTATTAGTTTTGACCCTTTTGATCAGGTCCTTTGAAAATATGAAAACAGGGTGAAAAAAAAACCCTTAAGCTGGTCAGCGCGCACCAACGTGCTCCGCTTATATTCTGTTGAATCTTTGATCATGTACGTTTTATCAGCGGGCGACTATTCCCACCCAGCGGAATTCAAGGGGTCCGGATGTCCCATTTAATGCGCCTTTTATTCAAACATTTTTGTTCCGTTAGACAGAAATTATTCATTATTTTATTATTTTTATCAAAATAATTAAAAATAAAAATAATAAAAAAGGAAAACCTAAACTTGTTGGGAGGTGGAATTCATTTACATTTTTTTTTTTCTTTTTATTATTTTTATTTTTAATTATTTTGATAAAGATAATAAAATAATGAATAATTTCTGTCTAACGGAGCAAAAACATTTGGATGAAAGCATTAGCTAGTAACCATTAAGGTAGCATTTGTTGAACCTTTTCTGTAGTTTTTTGCAAGGTTTAAAGTAACAAAAATGCAAGTATATTGGAAAGATAATTTTAAGAGATATATCAAGATATGCTTTGAAAACGTATAGATACGGACGAAAAATCAAGATACACATGGATACATTATAAAATCTTTAAAAAATATGAATAATAATAAAAATGAATTTTATGTGAGTATAACTAATTTATTTAAACATAAAAACCATTCTTTAATGATTTATATAAAGTATTGGGATATAACTAGTAACTATTAAAAAATAATAGAAGAACTAAAATGTGTATATATATGCTAATATTTATTATATAGATTTAAATAATATTTATTATGTATACAAGTTAATATATACCTTAATTTTAAATAAATAAATATAACTTGTATTCATCTTATTATTATATAAATATTAATAATAAAATTTATAGCATTTGTTGGGAAACACCCACCAAGGCAAGAAAGATTACTTTAAGTATAAGTTCTAATAAGCAATTAAGGTTGGCATAATGGTTAATTAATTATTGTTGTAAGCAAATTCTTAGGGTCTATTTGATTTACGGTTGGAATTAGAATCAGAACCAGAATTGTCTATTCCCATTGTCTGTTTTGTTTAGCTAGGAATCAAAATGGGAATTAAAATCAACTAGAATGGAATTTCATTCCCAAAGGAAGGGGAAGGAATGGGATTCCAATTCCACCCTACCAAACAGTTGGAATCGGAATGATTTGATTCTACCAATTCTAAACCCTTATTCCTGCGAACCAAATGGGCTCTTAATACCATGGTTTTCGAACCGTTGTTGACCCGAACAGTTAGACTCTTTAACCCAAGAACCGTTCAGGCAACCGGTTCCGTTTTACCCCAAACCCGGTCCCTAGCCAAAAACTATTGAATTGGTCAACGGCCCATTGACCCAGGTAGTCGAACTGTCAATCCGTTCAACGGTTTTTTACCAATTTTTATTTTAAATTTTTTTGTCAGAACGAACCATGCATTTCAGAGCGGATGGTTGAACCATCAACCCAAAAATCGATGGACATAACGGTTCCGATTCTGGGTCAATTTTTAAAACATTGCTTAATACTTCTTTTCATATTCTGGGCTGCTGCCTGCTGGAATATCTTTTTAAATAGACTTGTTAAATAACACCTAAATAAATACTGCGAGGCTTTGGATGCACCCCTCAAGGTTGCACTTGTACCTCGAATGGTGAAGTATTGGCCAATGGCCATGCATGCTATAATGAAATCCAAAGAAACAACCACCTGTTTGTGCTTCAACCATTCCATGTTATTGTCTTTTTTAAAAAAATTCCCGGTCACTGTGAATCTAAATTCTCCATTACTTGGCTTTTCTATCTTGGGTAGAGTATAATTATAGGTTCTTCATACTCGATATTATATCACCACTCCCTCTAATTCAACTCCATTTTCTATAATCCATAAATAAATAATATACTGTAATTTAAGTTTCTTTCTTTTGATTTATTTTTTGGTATTCGATTATAGGCCTAAATCTCCCATAGGGGCCTTAATTCTTTTCTTCCCTTTTTTGAGAATATCACAGCATCACATTAATAATAACTCTCTTCCAAAGTCGGCGATAGTTAGCAGGATTCAAATCTGCACCCTCTGTTTGAACAAACCGGTCAACCGAGCCACCCCTCGTGATTCTTTTGCTTATGCCTGCGAGTTGTAACTTCTAGTGATCTCAAGCTAGAGCTTCGAAATGGTAACGATGAAATTGCGTGTGTCGAAGTGAGTAACTAATTATGCTGTGTTTGATTTGATTTGATATAAAATAAAAGAGAATTCCCCTCAACTATGTTTCTCTCCAAATTCATTTTTTCTATTAAACCAAAACATGCTCTGGGGGATGAATATTTTTGTGAAGGAGGTTGACCACTCAATCAAGCTTACTTTTGTTAAAAACCACTTTGTAATTGTCAAGTAACTGAAGGTAATTTCCCAAAGATTACTGGTGCAGAGTGAAAGCCACCGTCAAAAGACTAGCTGAAGCTTTGGTTGAGCTTTAGTCATTCACTGAGAATTGCTTTGGTTCCCGGTTTTCATCGAATCTATATTCATTTTGCATGGTCTTCAGTTACAAAGGCTTCTTTCTGTCCAGTTCGTACAAGTGAAATCTGACTGGCTTGCCTTGGTTCAAGCCCTTTCCAGTGGAAGAGCGGAACTGCCTGGGCAAGCCTTCTTTTGCTGAAAGGACATTCTAGTTGAATTTTCTAGTTTAAATATTGGACCCCATTCTTAGGCCCCATTTGGTTTACGGGAATAAGGGTCTGAAATTGGAATTGGAATAGACTACTTTGATTCTAATTGTTTGGTTGAGTGGAATTGGAATTCCATTCTCATTTCTATTGGAATGACATTCCTCCATTTAAGGGATTCCCCTTCTTATTGATTCCAATTCTCATTTCTATTTCCCTCTGAATCAAACAAACTATAGAAATATACCATTCTAATTTTAATTCCAAAAGATTTCAATTTCAATTCTAATTCCAATTCCAACTGCAAACCAAACGGACCCTTAATGTTGGTGCTTGTTTTTCCTATTTAATTTATTTCCTTTCACCAAAAAAATAAATCCATAAACATGCTATTTGAAGATTTTTTCTTCTTCATACTTGAATTGACTTTATTTATGTTCATTTATTTCCTGCACTCTCTTGCTGTCTAGGGTGTATGCCTTATTAAAAATGGATATTCAAGTTTTTGTACCCATTAGGTCTGTTTTCTCTATACATAATAGTTTGTGTTTTAATGGGCAAATAACATAAAGTCTTTATTTCATTTTAATCTTCTTTTTTATCACCACTAACGTGAGGGTATTTATATAAGGATGGATTTTGCAAATATAAAGATATATTTGTATAAATATATAGTCAAATTTTATTTTATAACATGCACTAATAGTACAGTTATTAAATTCGGGGTTTTCTACATGACCGATTAGTATTGATTAATAAACCGTCTAGGTGGAGCCAAGTGGTCATATGGGATATGGCTGATTTTTCATTTTGGCATTTTAGAACTACCGGAACGTGGCCCTGGCACTCCCTTTCAGCGGAGCCGGAGATGAGCATGAGCCCGTAGTACCGAGGCATCAGGAGATCCTTACTGCGTGCATCTCACGTGAGATTCATTTATAGAAGAGCGCGAGAAGAGAGAGAGAGAGATTTTCTGTCTGGCGCTCTGCATACCGAGGAGCAAGAACGCGAACGCCATCGAAGCCTTGAAGGTGGTGGAAGGTGCAAAGCCATGGCAGGAGGAGAACAATGCGAAGGAAGTACAGTTGTTTCTGATCTCATCAACTTCCTCAACGCTTCTCCTACTGCCTTTCATGCAGTTGGTAACAAATTGCTAACTCATCTGTCTCTCTCCATTCGTATTGAATAATAATATCACATAGTTATCTTATCATTTCTTTCCCACACCTAGGGTTTCTTTTTTTTTTTTTTTTTTCTACCTCATCCTGCAGATTTCTAGTATTCCTTAATGGTCATGTTTTTGGCACAGACGAGGCGAAGAAGCGTTTGAAGAACGCAGGATTCGAGCAAATCTCTGAGAGAGAGGATTGGGAACTGCAGGTCGGGAAGAAATACTTCTTCACAAGAAATCACTCTACAATTGTTGCTTTTGCGGTTGGACGAAAGTATGACTAAAATTTGTAAAATCAATTACACTACCTTATCGCTTTCAACTTTTTTTCTTCGTTCTTTGTTTCTGAAATTCCTGCAACCTTGTATAGATATGTTGCGGGAAATGGATTTCACATTATCGGCGCTCATACCGATAGCCCTTGTCTGAAACTAAAGCCCGTTTCAAAGGTAATTTCCCTTCATCTGTGCAGTCTTTTTGCGGCTTATTTTCATCATGGGAGGTTATCAAGTTTTAGAATCTGGTCCTTCGATATTCTCTTGAAATGTTGAACACCTAAATTTTACTAAGTTTTGAAGTTTTCATTATTATAAATTTTTTGAATTTAAGTTGGAAACTTGGTTGGTTGGCTACCTCAGGTAGCCAAAGGAGGGTATTTGGAAGTTGGTGTCCAAACGTATGGAGGTGGATTATGGAACACGTGGTTCGATCGTGACTTAACTGTTGCCGGGCGGTTGATCATAAGGGAGGAGAAAGATAAATCTGTGTCGTACTTACATCGGCTTGTTAGGATCGAAGAACCTATAATGCGAATTCCTACCCTAGCAATTCACTTGGACAGGTCTGTCAACAAAATATCTGAAATCTGATTTTTGTTACCTCTCTCTCTCTCTCTCTCTCCGATGAACTTTTAATGCTGGATGGCTATTTTTCTTATAAATGAATAGGGGTGTCAATGATGGATTCAAGCTGAACACGCATGGTCATCTTCTTCCAATACTAGCAACATCAGTTAAGGTGATTATTAGATTATGAACCTTTTCTTATATTGGTTATTTGTGCTTTTGTATGTTTATGTAGTCGTTAATATTGGGTTTGAAAGCCCATCTTATGTGGGTTTGGTATGAGTATTTCAGTATTTGTGCAAGAGTCAAATTTCATATTTGTCTAACAGCAGAATCTAGGGTCCAAGGACTATACCAAGATGTATCCTCTGACCATTTATGGGCATATTGCACTTATTACACTTTTATTTTTTATTACCGACATGTACATATTGTACATTAAACACTAAGTGTATAATGTAAAGGAAAGATAAGTAATAGATGAAAGAAATAATGAACCTGTAGCATGAAAATTTTAAAAAGCTTACGTTATATTTCAGCTACCTTTTCTAATTAAAATAATGGAATTTAGTTCTTTGTTGGCAAGCATCAATTCCGTTCTTCTACCCCTGGTGGACCTGATTGTAAAGTTTGGAGAGGGTGTAAAGATGAGGCTTTCTTGGTAAAATCCTATTCTCTCTTGTTGGCAGCTCAAGATTCAGATGAAGTTCCCTGGAAGTGGATTTGGAAGTTAGGTCTCCCTTCTAAAGTTGTGTTCTTTTCATGGGCTGGGATCTTTAATAAAATCCAAGCCATGGATAACCTTCTGGCTAGAGGCATGGTGTTGGTGGACAGGTCTGTTTTATGTGAGAATGGCTGGGAATCAGTCATCCATCTGCTTCTCCACTGTCCATATTCCTTCTCTATGTGTGAATGCATTTTGTTCTCTTTAATAAGGCTTTTGTTCTCCATTCTTCTCCACTGTCCATGATTAATAAACGAGCCGAGCTCACGCCTAATAGAGCTCGGCTTGTGAGGCTCGCGAGCCAAGCTCGAATATATATATATATATATATATATAATAAAAGTATTATAATTCTTAATTTTTTAAATATCAAATAAAGAATATTTCTAATATATAATTTTTTATTTTTATAAAACATTTTTTCTCAAATTGAGCTCGATCCTTGTATTACCTTGGTGAGCCGAGCTCGAGCCTCGTACTATTTGGCTCGGCTCGTATCCACCCCTAGTTCCTTGTGAGCCATTTAAACCTCTTAATTTCATATTTATAATACCACACTACAGATTCTGGAATCTGTAGCCAGCCCACTATCACCTTGGAGTCACCCTCAATTAACAATTGTGCCACTCCTAGCTGATTTGCAAACTGTACACTTTGAACTGCAGTCAACAGCTCCACCCTAGTGGAGTCCCCAAATCCTAAAGGACCCGAGTAGAGCAACACCACATTTCTGGCCTCATTCTTGAAAACCCCTCCCAACCCAGAAGGACCTGGATTACCTTGACTACTACCATCAAAATTCAGCTTCAGTACACCTATAGGAGGAGGTACCCAGATCATGCTTGCTCTAGGCTTTGCAGAGGTACTACTTGCCACTACAGCTCAATTCCTCCACAAATCACTAAAGGAGAAAAGGTGGAAAAGCTCCGTAGGTTTTAATTACTGAACCGCCCTATTCAAAATGCAATCCTTCAGCTCTTGTAGGTTTCTTTCATTCTCTTGACACTATGGCATTCCTTTCTTCCCAAACAGTATAGATCATTGCTGCTCTTGCAAATCTCCACATTAACCTCCCTCTTCTTGGCTGCCAAGGAAAGGTAGAATGATCGAAGAGTAAGCTTGCTTCTGCTGGCATGTTCCACCTGCATGGCTGCACCCAAACAACAAGAAGAGCCAATCCCATAATTCTGCTGTAAAAGAACAAGAAATTAGTAAGTGGTAACAGTCTTCACCATGGGGTCTGCAAAGAATACACCAGTTGGGTGAGATGTAAAGTAAAGGTCTTCTCTTTTGTAGATTATCCAAGGTGTTTATTTTCCCATGATACACCTCCAACAAAAAGCTATTACCTTAGGGGGAATGGATCTACACCACACTTCCTTAATTGGGAAAGTTATGAGATAGGGGCTGACAAAGGGACCTAAAAAAGGAGCACAACAGAAAGATCCTTTTGGCTGTGGGGACCAATTCGTTTATCTGGTTGAGAAGAGTCCAAACAGACTTTATCAAGAAGACTCAATAAACTGGTGAGACACTCAACTTCCCCATCCCTCAAACCTCTACGAAAGCCAAAATCCCAGTTTGGTGCCAAGTGATTTTCAAGAGGGGAGAAAAAAATGGAAGCAAATTCTTTTTTTTTTTTTGAAAAAAAGGTTAACTTTATTCAATAAAAAGAAGCAAACTCATTTTTGTACAAAGAGACATTAAATGGAGAAGGAAAAAGGTCCCTCAAGGGTTGATCACCAATCCAAGTGTCCTCCCAAAAAAGAACAAAGTTTCCAGCACAGACATCATACCTGATTAGGTTGAGAAAGAGAGGGAGAATACTGTGAATAGCCAGATAAGAGGGTATGGACTTAGGGAACACCCTAAGTATCCTCCCAAGGATCTCACCTTTGGGAACACCCTTAGATCCTACTTGGGATTTTGGGTTTCGTAGAGGACTTAGGGATGATGAAATTGAATTTCTTTCTGTCTTGCTTGGTTGTCTTAATCAGGTTTGTTTGGATCCCTCCAA